CCCAAAATGCTGTAAATTGAGCAGGAGTTTTAAAGGTTTTTCTTATCACTTTTCGGTTGTGACAAAGGGAACACTGTATTTTTTCCCAAGTATTTTTAAGGTGCAGGGTCAGAATCGGACACTAGAGGGCACCAGAAAGCGCTTTACCAGGATTTTCCTCCAAAACAACAAAGGCAAGAAAGGAGGGACACCATCAACGGCAATGGGTTACTTTTTTGTGAGTGCAGCGAAGGTAACAACAACGCCACAGCCCTGGCTAACACAACCAATTGCCTGGTAGACTCCCTACAAAGTACTCGCTGTGGCTCACCTGGGAGAAAGGCCTCCATTGGGGAGGCTGAGCGAGGCCGAGCTCCGCCCTTGCTTCCTCCTTCCTGCCCCAGTGTTCTCTGGGAGTTTTCTTTCTGAACAGGAAGCTTGGGCAGAGCGAGGCCGAGCTCAGCCTCCCAAGGGAGGCCTTTCTCCCAGGTGAGCCACTAGACTCCCTACAAAGTACTCCCTGTGGCTCACCTGGGAGAAAGGCCTCCACTGGGGAGGCTGAGCGAGGCCGAGCTCCGCCCTTGCTTCCTCCTTCCTGCCCCAGTGTTCTCTGGGAGTTTTCTTTCTGAACAGGAAGCTTGGGCAGAGCGAGGCCGAGCTCAGCCTCCCAAGGGAGGCCTTTCTCCCAGGTGAGCCACACTCAGGAATTTGCAAGGTGTCCGCAAGAGACGTGGTGGCGCTGCGGGCTAAGCCGCAGAAGCCTGTGCTGCAGGGTCAGACGACCAAGCAGTCGTAAGATCGAATCCACGCGACGGAATCAGCGCCCGTCGCTTGTCCCAGCTCCCGCCAACCTAGCGGTTCGAAAGCATGCAAATGCGAGTAGATAAATAGGGACCACTTCGGTGGGAAGGTAACAGCGTTCCGTGTCTAAGTCGCACTGGCCATGTGACCACGGAAGATTGTCTTCGGACAAATGCTGGCTCTATGGCTCGGAAACGGGGATGAGCACTGTCCCCTAGAGTCGAACACGACTGGACAAAAATTGTCAAGGGGAGCCTTTACCTTTACCTTTACCCACAAGAGAGAAATAATCCCCGGAATAGAGAATTATGGTCTTGGTAGTCCAGAAACTCTGGACATCCCATTTCTAGTGGCTATCACCATCACTCTCCGCCCTATCGGCCAAAGCAACCTTGGGTGACCCAAGTGTTCTTAGACTGCAACTCCCAGAAATCCTGGCCAAGACAGTTAGCGGGGAAGGCTTCTGGGAGTTGTAGTCCAAGATCACCTGGGTCACCCAAGGTTGGGATCTCCGGTGCGAAAGGAACTGAAGGGAAGCTGCTGTTATTATAAGAAACGGGAGTAGAGGCAAAATCTATAAGCAGCCATTCCTCCGGAGCCTAACCTTTAGGAAGTCTGCAGGACCTTGAAGAATCCAAGGTTGGGAACTCCGGTGTGAAAGGAATTAAAGGGAAGCTGCTGTTATTATAAGAAACAGGAATAGAGGCAAAATCTATAAGCAGCCGTTCCTCCGGAGCCTTTAGGAAGTCTGCAGGACCTTGAAGAATGAGGCAAAAGGGTTGAGCCAGGGTTTCTCAAAATGCACAGCTATCTGATCATTGCGTATTCATATAATATTGTAATACTCTGATTTCTTCCAGCATTTTCTCTTTTCTGAGCCAGGACTTCTCAAAATGCACAGCTATCTGATAATATAATATTGCAATGCTCTGATTTCTTCCAGCATTTTCTCTTTTCCACACCGCCATAGAAATGCAAGGTGCCTCAGCAGAATTATTTCTAGAAGGTTTTTTTCCCACCACTTTTTCTGGTGGTTCCCACCCTGATCCCCTCATCCTGATGGCCTAAAATGACCCAGGGTCAACTTCTCAAAATGCACAGCTATCTGATAATATAATATTGCAATGCTCTGATTTCTTCCAGCATTTTCTCTTTTCCACACCGCCATAGAAATGCAAGGTGCCTCAGCAGAATTATTTCTAGAAGGTTTTTTTCCCACCACTTTTTCTGGTGGTTCCCACCCTGATCCCCTCATCCTGATGGCCTAAAATGACCCAGGGTCAAGGGGCAGGTAGAAGACGCCCCCAGGTGGCCAACCCAGTTGCTCTGACTGACACTGGCAGTGCGCGAACATGAATACGAATAAGAATACGAACACAGATAAGAACACGAATAAGAATATGAATATGAACACAAATATGAATAAGAACACGAATACAGTGTGTAGGAACACGAATAAGAATACGAATATTAACACAAATACGAATACAAATAATATCACGAATAATACGAATAAGAATACGAATATGAACACAAATATGAATACGAGTAAGAACATGAATAATACGAATAAGAACACAAGTAAGAATACGAATATGAACACAAATACGAATATGAATAAGAACACGAATAAGAACAAATAAGAAAAAGAATATGAAAATGAATATAAATTAGATTACAAAAACAAATAAATAGGAATAAGAATACGAACACGAATAAACACGAACATGAATAAGAACACGAAGAATAAAAATACGAAGATAACAAATATCAGTATGAATACAAACACAAATATGAATAATAAGAATAGAAACAACACTTTTGGACCCCCACCTCTGAGAAACAGCTAGTCTCCAGCAGATATTTGGTGAAATAGTTCCCCATTTCTCTTCCCGAAAAAAAAAACAGTGTGGAGAATTTCAAGACAACATCTGCCCACAGATGCTGGGAACAGCATACACCACTGTGAATAAGGCGCTCAGTCACTAGACATCCTCTATTTTCAAGCAAATTTGCCTCCCTCACCTGGCCTCCCATGAACCTTAGTTTGGCCATCCTTCAGATAACGCTCTGCCCCCCATCCTGGATTAAATATCCCACCAGTCCCCAGACACCCCCCCAAAAAAGCGGGCAGAACATGAGAGGTACCCAGGAGTATTATTCTCGACAGGCAGCAAGAGTACAACTGTGCGCGCTGTGTCCCCTATGGAATAACTGGGCATCTTTTCAAGCCGGTCGGGGAACACCCGGCCCTCGTTCCGCCCAGAGGCTTATTAGCATGGCTGTCGCTTCCTATTAGCCACACCCCTGCAGGCAAACACAGTCAAGCGCATTCATGCCCTGGTAGGGTGAGGAAGCTGGCACAGAAATTCCTGGCCAGGAGAAATCTGACTAATTAGGATTCCAGCTAATGCACGCAATGTCACCGTTTTAGGTCAATAAACTGTCCTCCATTTCGGCTTACTAAAAGGTTCGGCTCCCCCAAGAAAAATAATTTGATATAATTGTGCATTGTCGGGGAGTGTGTGTGTGTGTGTGTGTGTGTTTGCTGCCTGCAGGAAACATCTGTAGCTGAGCAGTTGTGGAAAATATGGGAGATACTTAACACCGGTCCCTGTGGGGAATAAGTCAGCCTTTCCGGACCGCGATGAAAACTGGAGGCTGGATTCCCATTGAACGGCCAAACCCAAACCCCATTCTTTCGGCTACACGAGCCCACCAAACATCCCATAAACTTGTGAAATAAGGGGGATCTTGTTACCATATAATAAGCAGCCAGGCAGACACGCTGTTCCTCAGCAGAGTTCGTCATATCGTTAGCCAGCCAAAGGTATGTTTCAAAGGGAAAATAATAATAATAACACCAAGAAGACAGAAGAAGCCGTCGGAGGACATGAGCCAGGAATTCACATGAAGCTCATCTCGCCTATGGGTCATTTGCTGCTCATTTCTGGATGCAGGTCAAGACTCTCCTATTGTTAACCTGGAAACCACTAACAACCCTGTAAATCTTAGAAAACACTGCCTTTGGAACAAGCTTTCCCTCTAGGCTCATCGGATGCACCACTCTTGGAATGTCAGGAGCCTCGCGGTGCGGTGGTTCGACTGCAGTCCTGCACTCAAGACTCTGCTCATCACCTGAGTTCAACCCCAACAGCTTCAGGTAGTCAGCTCAAGGCTGACTCAACCTTCCATCCTTCCAAGGTTGCTAAACTGAGTACCCATCTCACCGGGGGAGGGGGCAATGGGTCGCCTGCCTAATTAAATTTGTAAACCACCCAGAGAGTGCTTTAAGCGCTATGGGGTGGTAGATAAGCAGTACACTTTGGTTTCCATTTGCCGGTTCTCAGTTCTAAAAGTGCCTATCAATGGTGTCTTCTTGGCCCATCTAAACCAGAATGGGCAGTTGGTTGGTTGGTTGGTTGGTTGGGAAACCAGAACGGGCAGTTGGTTGGTTGGTTGGTTGACGCCATTTACGGACTGCCCCACTTAGCAACCACTGGCTGCTAGAAGAACCGAAGCCATCTGACCGGATCTTTCCCTAGCCCTGCCTGGACGTCCCCAGTTTTCCCTGGGAAGGGTCTCCCATCCAAGGCCAAACCAAGCCCAACCCTGCTTAGCTTCCCAGATCCGATGGGATGGGTGTGTTCAAGATGGAACAGGGAAGACAAGGCAGGTTGGTCTTCCATCTTGCTACAAACTAAGCCCAACCTTGATGAGCTCTCCAGATCAGGCAAGGCCTGGCGTGTCAGGCAAACGCTGGAAATGGAAAGCGCGGTGAAGGCAGGTGGAGCCACAGGGGGAAACGGGTGGCCAGTATCCGAAGCGTGACAGCTTAGAGAATTAATTAATTTGATATCATAAGGATGCTTGCAAAGAGCAATGGGCAAATTCTTTCTGCCTTGCTTTGGTGACCTAGCCGGGAAGGGAGAATTCTTTGGCAAACTTGCTTTCTCTTGCTGGCTCCAAAGATTCCCTCAACTGGTGGGAAACCAACCTTTCTTTCCGGCTGGCGTGGGTCTCGCCACTGATGGACGGAGGATGTTCTTTCTGACCATCCAAATGTTGGCCTGGTCAACAGACAACACGAACTCCCACCGACCACGATTTCTGATCCCAAATATTATTCCAGAACAAGAAGGCAGCATTCCCTAATTATTTTCTCCCCCCCCAAATAACTTCCTGGCTCTCCAAGCCCTTTTCTCTCCTCGCTTCCTCACCTCAAAGACTTCTTCATCCAAAATCCTCGTGCCAAATACGATGATACCATTGACGTCAATGATGGGATGGTCACTCCGGTCCAGGAACTTCGTGATCTTCTTTTTACAATCCAAAATCAGAGTGATGTTCTTCTTGTGCACGCTGATGGCTATCCGATGCCACCTGGGAAATAAAAAAGGGAGGTTAAAAAGGAACCCAACTTTTAAGAACAGGCTGGCGGATTTCAAAGCTTCGTCCTCCAAGGGACTGGATCACTCCGACGGACCTCCTGCCCTCTCCCCCCCGTGTTGGACGAAAGCCCAGTTATGCCAATTAAGTGAAGCAATGCCCATTTGTTCTGGCCTTACAAGTGAATGCAGATGGTGGGATTCGGCTTTTTATGGGCACATACTTTGGGAGTGTTTTTTCTGTTGTTTTTAAAGTGGAAGAATAAGCAAAGTCTAAATTCAGTTCAGGCCACACAACCCTCGCCCAGCCTTAGCATAAGAACGCTTCCAGCTTAGAATCCCTGGCTTGGAAGGCTAGTTGGCGTAAGGTATGCCAGGGAGCTCCCTGGTTCCATGTCCTGGATCGGACTGGAGGCACCAATCTGGGTGGACCTGATCCTGAAAGACCTTAAGTCCCCAAACCTTCCCTTGCAAAAGGAGTTCCAATGCACCACCAGGATGTCCCGCCAGTAGGCATCCAATGGGCCCTGGGGACTCTCTCCCACCATGGAGTCTGCCCTGCCCAGAAACAGAAACGAAGGGGGCTACTTACTTGCCGTCCGAGAGGTTGATGCCCCGGAAGAGAGGGTAGTCCTCAGGGCCTGGCTTCCCGGTGTGGTCCTCGTACAAGAATACGGGAGACCTCCCCATCTCCATGCCGATCTGCTGGATCCCTTGTTCATTGTAAATGGAAATCAAGAAGGCCTGGCTTCCTTTCTTTGCTTTTACAGTGGTTAAGATGGAGAAGTCTTCGGGGAATGGAGACGCTGAAATTGGGAAAGGGAGCAGGAACCGATGAGACCGGTGAATTCTCTCCATTGTATGACCACCCATACAACCTTGAACACAATGGACCTTCCCTGGTTTTTGGAAGCTGAGCAGGGTCAGACCCAGTTAATGCTTGGATGGGGGAGATACCGAAGACTTATCTGGTGATGTACTGGGGAGCAGTCGCAGCTGAAGTCACCAATGCAAATTTGAATTGTGAAAGGCATACCTGGGAGACCTAAGGCTAGTAAACCAACAAAGGAAGGAAGGAACAAACAAATGACTTTCTGCAGCGGCGCATGGTTGGACTTGATGGCCTTTGAGGTTCCTTCAGACTCTACAATTCTATGATTATCTATCTTTTCCCACTCAATTCTCAGTCTCCCAAAAACACACCCATACGCACGAGTACCCTCCCTCGGAGGGCTTGATTCCTAGTAGCTGCACTTTAGGAAAACTCTGCTAAAACCATTCCAGTATATTGTCTCCCGGGGAGATTGTTCTGTTTGAAAAGACGACCACTTTCACTTTCAGTGTTGTGCCACGTTGACAGCGGCTCAAAGGGGGCTGGGCGCAAGGAGCTGAAAACTACCAGCTTAAGGGAACAAAACCTTCTAATTAGCCCCAAATATAGGCTTTTGGGCCCAGCCGCTTGTCCTGGCCTCTTTCCACCTCGACACCCTTCATTGTCAAATCCCCAAACTCCACTTATATTTGACAACTGCTCTACAATTACTCCTGTTGTCTTGATCTCTCCATCTACTCATTTGCTTGTTGGGAACGAAGTAACATCTCGTTGTTGGGAACGATGTGTGTTATTACACAGAACGGGGCGGAAGGGTTCGGAGAGGCCCTGGCCGCCATCCAAAGGGCTCATCTGAGATCCAAATTATGCCCCTTGGCTTGCTGGTGGTTTTGCACACCAGGCTTCATCCATCTCAAGAGTTTCATCACCCAAATTCCTTTTTTCGTGGCCTGAGATCAACCCCAGAGTATTCAAACCGAGACCCACGGGAGGTGCTTTGAGTGAGGGGGGCCAGCCTGTCCGCTCCTCCAGAGCAGCCCTTGCTCTGAAATCAAGGAACAAACAATTCTGTGAGGTTGGGAATAATTCTCAAGGGGGGGGTTGTCCCTTGGGTGACCTCAGTCTTGAACGACAGGGGAAATATGCGACTCCCAAGTAAGACTGTCCGTTGATCCCGCCTGGCCCAGCCTTTTTCCTACTACGTTTATTTCTCCCCCCCTCTCCTGAATCCTCACACTCCGGGGGCCACATCCATGGATTTCAAAGCCAAGTTCCCCACCTGGCCTTCTTCGAAGGTGTTGGGAAACGCAGGTAGCAGCCAGGCTGAGGAAGGCTGGATGAACCCCTGCGGGGTCTGGGACACTCAGGAGGCCCCCAGACCCCCCCCAAGTGGGCACCATCCTCAACTGAAACCTAGTCAAGACGCTTCTGACTGTTTGGCAAGGCAGAGGAGAGAAGTCGAGACTCTCAGTTGTATCTCCTTTGCCTGAAGAAAGCTGGTCTTTATCATTTTCCTTCCTCCACCCTCTGGCCAGGTTCTCTGTTATCTGGAGAAGTTTAACCTCTAGCAACTGTAAGAACCTGGGGATCCATCTTATATGGATAGGGGCCATCGGACCCTCTTGCCTGCCGTTGCGGGCTCTGCCCTAGCAGCCATGATGGCTCTCCTGGGTTTCGTGCGGGACTCTTTCTAAGCCCTACCTGGAGATCCCAAAGACGCCCTGGCAGTGTGTCATCAAGGTATTTGCCAGGCATGACCCTGCTTAGCAGCCACGTTCAGGTGTGATTTTGGTGTGTTTTGTACCACAAGGAGCAATGGAAGAGGACTTCTGTTGAATCCAGACATCGGGACCCCTGGCTATGTGGGGTCAACTCTAGCTGTCAGCCAGAGGCATATCTGTTGTTTTGGGAAGGACCTTCTTCTGATGGTCCCCCTTCCACATACTCACCAGGCTTGACCCTGCTTAGCTTCCAAAATCCAACAATGTTGGCACGCTTAGGGTCACAACAAAGGCTATGTCTAATCAAACAAACCTTACCAGGGTAGAGCTGTTTGGTGGGCGCGCTCAACTGGGCATCTTTTGTGACTCGGTAGGCCACATCGGCTCCTTTGGAAGACCTTCTACTTGTGCAAAAACCTGTCGTTTTCGAGATCCCGTCAGGTAAATTGTGGAAATCTAACACCTTCAAGAGATCGGCAGGCTCAGCTGGAAAATAAGAAAAAAAAGGAGGGGGAGAGGCCCCAATCAGTAGGTGGAAAAGGGAGTCGCCAGACAATTCCGATCCGCCAAGCTCTGCGCAGAAATAACAAAACATCAAATAGATTGCTTTCAGGGGAAAAAAGAAAAAGATAACAAACAGAACCAAACAAATCACCATTAATTGCATAGAACATAGATTATTTCAATGGCATGGAGAGGTTTTCAGGCAGCTTCAAATGTAAAAAAGGTTTTTTCCCCCCAGTGAGATTATACATAGACACACGGCATTCCGACCAACACGCTGGCATTCCTGGACTCCAATGAGAATCATCATCCTAATTCTGTGCTGACAAGTTGATTCCAACTTTTAACTTGAGGCAACCCTTCCAGGGGTTTCTCTGTCGAAAGTGTGACATCATACACTCCCCGCAGCGCATAACGGGTGAACTGAAGACCCACGTTCGAACCCTACCCCCAGAGTGCCAAACTGCAAAGGGCAGACGTCGGACCTGTAAAGCCCCTAGAATCATGCAAGGCGCAAATGGGGTGGTATAGAAACCAAAGAAATGGTTGTAATAGTAACCTAAACTGCCAGTAAAAAGACTGAGAGATTCACAGAATCTAAGACATAGCTCAGTTTTAACCAGGGATGTTGGTGAGTCTTTGGTATCAAGTCCCAAGTCTGAGCCTTTCCTATCAAGTCCCAAGTCTGAGCCTTTGGTACCAAGTCTTGAGTCCGAAGCCTCAAGTCCGAGTCCCTATTAAATACAAGCCTTTTTTCCCCAGAAAAAAAGGGAGAAGTAGGTGAGTTCTGATTCGAGAGTAGAGTTCGAATCACTGAAAAAAAAGAAATCCAAATTTAGTCCAAGTTGAGTTGCCAGCGCAAGCTAAGTCCGACTTGACAGCGAGGACTGTGACTCCACTTCCCATCCCTGGTTTTAACATGGCCATTTGGCAGCGAGACGTGAAACCCTTGCTTGATCTAGAGACCAGAGACTTAGATTCCTGCATTGAGCCAGGGGTGGGACTAGATGACCTTACAGGACCCTTCTGATTCCATTATTCCATGATCGGGGGGAGGGGGGGAACAGAAAAACTTCCCAGGCTGTCCAAGCAGCCAGATGGCCTCAAGGGCAGAAGCTGTCACAAAGCAACGAAGAGGAAGAACATGGACCAGTAACTGCTCTTGCAGAAGCCCAAGGTGTCTCTTGCACTGTTCATTTTATTATTCAACAAATTTCTCTCCCGTCATTCCAGACCAAAGCGAGCTGAAGGTGGTGCAATGTAAAACTACCCGAGAAATGCACAATTCAACACAAAACCATGACTGGACGCCAAGCATAAAACAGGAAGGAAAAAAAGGAGCAGTGAAAAAACAGAGATACTAAGATCTTTTTTCCATCCACATTTCAATACAATCACTAATTCATCTGCCTTTCTGAAAAGGTGACACAAGAGTCATGTCCATGTTGTTGCTTGGACTTAGTACTATAAGGTCCTGAAACATCAAGTGTGTTGTTTCTTCGGGGGCAGGGGGGAGTTGATGATGATAACCGAATGATAACCTCAGAATGGCAGAGCTGGAAGGGGCCCCGTGGATCACAACAGTCCAGTCCCTATTGAGGAGGCCCAAAGGGGGGGGGAATTGAACTCTCAACCTATGGCCCCTCTCTAAACCACTGAGCTCTCCAGCCAGCTAAGTTAACGAACCCTAAATTGGATGTTTCGTGTCATCATCCACAACGTCGTCATCATGCTAGAACTGCAGAGATGGAAAGGGACCCTATAGGTCACCGAATCCAGCCCGTGTCCACGAGGCCCCATGGGGGAATTGAACTCCCCACCTTTAGGCTCCACAGCCAGGTATCGAAACCACTGAGCTGTCCAGCAGCCCCTCCGAACTGCCAGGCGTCTGCGCATGCGGGCTTCTGTGCGGCTGCGCATGCAGGGGCAACCCATTTTGCTTCCCAAAGAGAAAAGGCACCCGTTTTTCAGAGACCGCTTCCACATGGAGATGTGAGCAAATAAATAATGATAATAATCTGTTCTCTCAACCTGTGCTTTCTGTCTGAGGAGAGGAATTTCAGAAGCCAGGGCCTTTCTGATTAAAAAAAAACCACACACCAACAACAAAACACCCTCCCCCTCAGAAAAGCTAACGCTGAAGCGCTTACTGCCAAACCACGGATGTGGCACGCGAGGCCAAGAAGGTTCCAAGAAACCTCCGTGCCAAGCTGGAATGGGTGGGGAGCCGGCCTCCGACAACAACATCCCTGGCTGGTCTTTGGCCGCCACTCTTGGCCGCCTGCGAGCCCCTTGCCGAGATCAGCCTGCCAGCGTCTGACCTTGGGCTTGTTTCGATTTGGCTCCTTTTGCGCCTCCCTGTTTGTGTTTGGTCCCATGCTCCCAACGACGGTCTACCTCCGGCTCTGGATCCCCAGCTCCTGCTTCACTCCTCTCACTGGTCGGACCTCAAGAATACAACTGGGTCGAGAAACGAAAGGAACATGGGGGTGGTGGTGGGAGTCTATGGCTGACCACCCAAATGACCAGGGGAAACCTCTGAAGAACAATTTGCAAGAATTTCAGAGAGGCATGATGTAGTCATAACGAGAGACTTCAATGATCTTGATACCTTTTAACAGACAAATTCGGCCACAGACGGACCTTCCAAGGCACTCCTGGTGAGCACGGTTGATCATTGGCTCCTACAAAAAGCAGAGGAAGACACCAGAGGAGTGGCTCTCTTGGACTTGATCCTAATCCATAGAGGTGACTTGATGGCAGGGGTGGCCGCAAGAGGAGCACTGGGAGAAAGCGAGCACGTTCTACTTGAGTTCAAAGGAAACCGAGGCAGAGTGTAGCCACACAAATATGCTGGGTTTTAGGAAAGCGGATTTTAATAAATTTAGAGCAATGACAGGTAAGGTCCACGGCTGGAGATCCTAGCAAGAAAAGGAGGCCTAGGTGGGTAAGAGTTCCTTTTTAAAAAAAAATAATCTGAAAGCACCACGACAAGCAATTCCAACAAAATTCCAACAAGAAACAAAGGTGGAAGACAACAACAACAAAAAAGACCTGTGTGGAACCTTCTTCAGCACCTACGGGCTCCATGCTTGAAAGGCTGCAATAGGGGGGAAAAAAGGTCCTCTGAAGCCCGAGCCGTCTTGTGGCTTCCCCGTTCCACCCCAGTGGCTTCAATAAACATCCATGGCTGCGGTGCTTCTTTCCTCTGGGTTCAGCTGTGCAAGAGCCTACATGAATTTTCACGGCTGGAGGGGCAGTGAGTAGGACTTGATTTGGCTAATTACGAGTTGCAATGTATTTGAAGAAGAGCCAAACAACGAAGGAGGAGCCCTTCTTTGAAGTCAACCGCAATAGAGGCCTTTGCTCGTGAGCTGGTGAAGAGCACCTTTTTATTTCCCATAGACGGCGTTAGGGAGGGGATTTTTTAAATTTTTATTTCAGGACTACAAATACCATAATCCACCGTTCTTGGAGTTGTATCCACCTTACAGGCATCAGACAGACGCTTGAATGTGGCTCGCCTGGGCGCAAGGCCTAAACAGGAAGGATTTGAGGCCGAGCTAGGCCTAGTTCCGCCCAAGCTTCCTGCTCAGAAAGAAAACTCCCAGCTAGCACTGGGGCAGGAACAGGGAAAACATGCAGCCTGTGGGTGCATACACACTTCTTGAAATGTCAAAAATAACATCCCGAAAATGCAGCGTGTGGGTGACGCACTTCTTGAAATGTCAAAAATAACATCCCATTCCAGAATGTGTGGTTGGCGCTCCAGAGGCCACACGTCCTGGAAGGGATACAACAACAGGCCACTCCAGGAAGAGCCACGAGCATCCAGAAATTATACTTCCTGGAGTAACTGAAGCATCCTATCTTTCTAGTCCTCTTGAAGGGAACAACATGCCTGCATTGCGTGTTGGGATTCAGTACCGATGGAGAAGGGTTTCGTCCTGCAGGAAATGCCACGGAGGGCAAATTCCTTCCTTCCACCGTTGTTTCTTGGAAAAAGGAGTTCCTTCCCCAGTTGGGGGTCTAGGGTTCTGGGTTCAAGCCCCTAGGCTGGCCGACACGGGCAGCAGGAGCATCTTTTCCTTCCAGCCCTGGCCCTGTGCTTCTCCTGGCAGAAATGTAGCAGTCACTTTGTTTTCTTCTTCTTCTTTCTGGCAGAGAGAGAGAGTCACGGGAAAAGCTTCCTTCATTTCCCCATGTCAGGCTGCCAGGACAAGCAAGAAAAGTAGGGCAAGGGGGGGTGAGGGGTGGGGAGGAGAGGAGAGATAAGGTAGCGTTCTCGCTGCATCTCCCTCGCACCTGAACGGCCTCCACCAACACCAGACAGAGAAGCCACAAAACTCTGCCCGAGAGAGAGAGAAACGCCAAGGGAATGGGGGCGGGAAGGGGGCCTGTGAGAGAATTCTGAAAGAAAGAAAGAAAATGGGCATAACCATGATGCAATTAACTGTGAAACAGGAAATTGGAAGCTTCTCCCTGCCGTCTTTGATCTGCAGCAGCCACTGACGCACCATCCTGGTTCAAAGCTGGCAGCAGAAGCCAAGCTGCGGCCCTTGTCACTGTTTTGAAAGAGACTCTTTGCAGGATGCATTCCTTTGCAAGAGGACAGCCTGGTGTCCACTCTCCTTGCCCAGCTCGCAAAAGGAGTAGCTGCTTTGGCCATTATGAACACCTTGCGCTGCCCTCAGAGCAGCACGCCGGAGGAAAGGCAGTGGAAGTGTGCCCAAAGGTGCCCGGCTGTGGCCAATTCTGAAACTCCACCTTGACCATAACAAAATCCATAACAAAACCCAGGCCAGGATCCCCACCCCCCTTCTCACAACCAATCACTCGAGGTAAAGCACACGGCAAAAGAAAGGCAAGGAGGAAACGAGGGCATAGGCTGAAGAACCTTTCGGAGGCTGGTTTGGAAGCAACACGAGGGTCATGGCTTAGAACCGCCACTTTCAAAGTCAAGACAGTCATCGTGATGTCAG